TTGTATACATCTAAACTTTACAGTGGTGAAACAATTTTTAAAATCTTATATGATAAAGATGTGCATGAGTTTGTATGGCAGCTATAGTCTCAATAATGAATGGAATGAATGTTATAAGGCAAAAATATTCCACATAGAAATTGTGTATAATTGTTTATAGGAGGAAAAATAAATGTTTTCAATTTTTTTTACTGTTTCATTTATTTATGTAAACCACCCATTCATACTCTCTATAAGTAACTGACTTTTTTTTTAATACAGTGTCCAACCCTTTCCTCTACTAAAACTGATTTAACCGCTCCAAATGAAAAGGATACATTTTTGATGAGATTGGGAAAATGGAAAATGCGGGTTGCACAAGCCAAATGCATAGTCCAAATTGCAAAGTATCCCCAACACCATAGAGAAGGTAAAAAGAAGGACTGATGTAAATATGTGTTTCAAATATCACTTAAGGTTTATTTTCTTCTGTGACTAATTAGGTATTGACTAAATTTAAGTTAATATACCAGTAGTTTTAACAATGGTTATTGTTATTTTTTCATACCATAGTGTTTTTGTGCATTTCATGCAGCAGGCGTGCCTAGTTTATTTGCTCAAGTTCATCTGAAGACTCTCTGGCTAACATCTGCATTAAAGGACAAAAATCACTGCAATAATAGTATTCACACCTTGCAAGCAGGAACAATACAGGACTAAGTGAAGGAAAGGAATTGGAAAATGACAAGAAGGGAATTGGAAAATGGTGGGCAGAAAATGTGCCTGAGGTGGAACTTGATGAAACCTGGTCTTATTTGGGTTAATCAGGCAGTATCTTCTTTTACCTGTCAGTTGGTTCATAACTCATGCTATACCTTCTCCCTTTCTACCTCCAGTTCCCAGGTGAACTGGGGAAATATATCTCTTAGGCAGAATTGCTTATCACCTTCTCTAAATGCTCTATGTGATTGCCCAAATATTCTCAGGGCCAACCATATTTGATTAGCTGTAGAGAGCCCACAGGAAAATGAAAGGGAGAATGTACATGGCCAAGCATGGCTATGTCCATTTAAATTCTCTCCCTTGTCCCCTCAATCATTTGAAAAGAGCCAACAAGATCTTGTATACCCTTATAATATTCTAAGACAACACTCCTGGGGTGGGGAGGGAGGGGTAAATATACTCTATTACTAGACATGGTTTGTCTTCAGATAGCTAAAATTTTAATTTATTGTTTAAACAATAAACTAGGTCGGTTTTTCTATCTGAAGTAGTTTCAGGGTTTTTAAGAACATGAAAAGGCATTAGATGCAACTCACCATCAAAAAGAAACCATTTCTCTGAAGTAAATGAGACAATGGAAACACAAAGATGCTATTTTCAGAGACCAAGTGAGTGCAGTCACCTTCACTTCTGTCTTACTAGTAGTTACCTCAGGATTGTGCTATTGATTATTATTTGAAACTTTTTATTTTAGAACTGCCTTTTATACTCACACAATACTCATTCTTTTGAATATCTGTGGAGAGACAAATCTTCATCTTTTGGAGTAGATTTAATTTTTGAAAGCAGTGAGAAACCACCTAGAGGCAACATTGATGAATACACAACGTGATCAAACTGAGCATTATTTTAGCCATTAGTAAAGTATTATTCTAAAGTAACAAGAGTCTTTATATGTGATCCAACTGGATGCAAAGGCATCTTCAGTTAGAATTTTGAACAATTTTATCACCCTTGAATTAGGAATGAAGATTCGTGGTTAGTAAGATTCATAGGTTCCAAAGCCATATAGTTTTTTTCAAGGTAAATTTATCCAAGGGTGATTATGCATATACTTTCACAAAAGTTTTCTTATAGCACTTACAAAGATGTTTTAAAAGGAAGAGTTTGGATGAAAGATTCCACACTGAAGACTTGTGCCTTTTGATGAACAAATAGAGAAAACACTACAAAAATGTAAATTCCATTAGTGGTCAGTAAAATTAATACCATTATTTTGTTGCTACTGCTGCAACTGTTGTTTTTTTTAACATAGTTCCAAAGTGAGAATCCCTAGAATAATTATGCACTATTAAGTTCCACTAGAACAATTTATGACAATGGTAATGCTAAGTTCTTTCTAAATGGCCAGGTTTATTTTGTGAGCGCATGTGGGATGGATGGCTGTGCTGGGAGGAAACACCGGCTGGAATCACAACCCATATGGATTGCCCAGATTATTTCCCCGACTTTGACACAACAGGTAGAATATCTGTTTTTATTTTATATTTTGTTATGATGTTTTTAGAGTTTTTTTCATGGTCCTCAAAAGAAAGTCAGATATAAAATATACCTACCTACTCATACTCTATACAGTTTAGCATGTTCTGAAGCATTTCCATAAATGAAATACTACCTGGTTGCACACATCTAACCACCTGTCTTTATTTTATTTATTTATCTGATTTTTTTATTTTTAGAGAGAGGAAGGGAAAAGGAAATAAGAGAGAGAGAGAGAGTAATTAATATGAGAGTGAAACACCAATCTGCTACCTCCTACATGCCCCCTACTGGGATTTGAGCAGGAATCATAACCTTTCCGTGCATGGAGCCACACCAGCCAGGGCAACAAGCTATCCTTACTTTTTAAGTCACGTTACTGGTCAATTGTGCACACTGGTCATACATTCCATTACATTTTGAATAAAAATTCACATTTATATAATTTAAATAATAAATACTAAATGTTAATTAAAAATTCAATTAATTTTTCTAAAACGAATGTGATCATTTTCAAAATGTATGGTTTCTAAAAATGTTTTCAATTGTCTCACATTTTAGTGACTTAAAGCAAATGCTTAATCTAGAGGTTGCAAATAGCAGGCTGGTATAACATGCCCAATAGTAATTTTATATAATGATAAAAATTACATAAAACCATGATATATAAGGAAAAATAAATCAGATACCAGATTTCTGTTCCAGCAGATCATTAAAATATGCTCAGATAATAAAACAAATACTCTTACAATGAATTGTACCAATACCCAGCTCTGTGTCCTGCACAATATGAACATTCAACAAATGTATGTTTAGTAAAATAGTGACACCAAATTCACTTTGGTTGTAAAAGTAATACAGGAACACTTTTCTTTGAATATCATTTTTTTCCTTTTCGAAACATTTTCTTATATATTACAGTAATCCCCCCCCCCAGAGCCACAGTTTTGCTTTCCATGTTTTGAGTTAACTATAGTCAACCATAGTCTGAAACTATTAAATGGAAAATTCCAGAAATAAACAATTCATACGTTTTCAATTGTGCAGCCCTATTCTGCCCAGGAAATTAATTATCTCGTCCAATGTATCCACTCTGTATACCATACCCACCCTTTAACAGCCATCATAGTTATCAGTGTTTGTTTCACACTTACTAGGCTATGGAAAATCAACTGAGACTTTAGAGTTGTTTGGTCAGTGTTTTCTACCATGTTTCAGGGTCAAGCAGCCCATCTAGTTAGTCTCACTCATTGACTGCGAATGGCAAGAAGTTACTGCCCAATGACAGTGAGGACATCAGTTAAGACAGAAAACGTCAGATAGTAACTGCAAGCAGGAAAGTTTCTGGAATCCATATGAAAGCAGAGAAATTCATCTAACTCCAAGACAATGTTTGGGAGATGCTGTTTGTGCTTTCTTCAAAGATAAGATCCTAAATTCTACCCCAGAAAGACATATATAATGTAAATGGGATTAGAGGGGGAGGGGGAATTTTTAAAACCAGTTCAGGTCAGCCACTTCTGGGACTTCTCATTTTGATGGAAGAGCTGGGATATGAAGAGAGGAAGGACTTAATCCTGGGCCCCACTCATCATTACATTCCTGTAAACTCTAACTAAATGCCATTTGGTGGTGATCCTCCAGGTTTTTACTGACTCCTCTGGATAAATGATGCTTCATTAATCTTGTTGGACAACTACATTAGTGGTAACTTGATTGGCACAAAGAGCTGTTCTGCAATTCGGGCTACAATGCCAGTTGCAAAGCGACAATGGGCTCTTGCCAAAGTGGCTATCGTTATTGATGAAAATACAAGTTTTTGGTCAGCAAATCAGAGATTTCCAGGCACAGATCCATCTTTCCAGTCTGGTTTTTGGATAAAACTACCTCAGGTGGGGGGACAAACCCAATTTCAAAAGAAAAGCACACCTTAAAAATACTTATAATTTTAAAATATATATATATTCTTTAGGATGTAATGATTAGCCCAAAACTATGTCTTGATCATATACAAAACAGTTTAATGAAATGACAGAGATTTCATTTTAGACAAAGTGCTTGGTAGATCATGAAAGGGTGGATAACAAGATTGAAATTCAAAAGACGTGAATAGTCTAAAGGAATATGTGAGTATAAAAAACAAATTTAACAAAGAGGTATGTAAGATCCTTGGAGTCAAACACTTCACATTAATGGCATAGAGAGAAGATGCATCCCCTAGTTTTGAATTTCTTTGTTCTATTAAATCTAGCCATATGAAATTGCCAGTATTTGATCATTAGACCCCCCCAAAAAAAAACCTGCAGTTTCATAAGTTAATAAATAAATATTGCACATAAATGAAGAAAAGTATGTCTTGCTCTTCTCACAGTTCTATCAAAAATCATAAGTTTAATGTCTGTTAAAACAAACAAACAAACAAACAAAAACAGGAGGTAAAGTGTAGATAACACTTTGGAATCTGAAAGACCTAGTAGTCAATCCTCGCTTACCCACAAGCTACTGACTTTTTAAATTCCATAACTTCTCCATTTCTGGGCTGTTTGTAAAATGGAGATAGCGATATCTGATTTACAGGGCTCTGACAGAGCTAAAATGAGACACCATATATTAAGATTTTTTTATATAAAACACCCCCAAAATCTAGTAGGATCATGGTAGTCTCCATTTACTGATACTCATATTCGAGTTCTATGAAGCGGTTACCACTTTGAAATGACTCTAAGCCTTAATTTATTTTTCCTTCTTGTTGTTTTGAAATGGTAAGCAATAACTGTTATGTTTCATTAACAGAAAAGGCTGAGAAACACTGTGAAGCAAATGGAACTTGGGAACTAACTGCTGACATGAATGATACCTTGACTAACTACAGTATGTGCTATGCTTTCACTGCTGAAAAAATGAAGGTAGGTTCCATTTCAGATTTCAGTATTTGGTGATAATGCCATTGTCTGTGTTTTATTGGTTACTAGGAGATATCAGTTTTTGCTTTATGTTTACATGGGGGTTTGAGTTTATATTATTAGGTGCATAGAAATTTAAAATTATTATATCTTCCTGACTTAATATCTGCACCTATATGGTACTACACCAGTTTTCTTATGGCTAGTGTTAATCTGAGTCATCTTTTCCCATTCTTTTACACTCAATATTTCTGTATCCCAGTATTTATTGGTGTTTCTTATAATAGTATTTCATATAATCTCTTTAAAAATCATCTAGTCTAACCAAATTTCTTTATAGGTGAGGACTATTGAGGTCTAGAAAGGTGAAGTGACTGACTTTATGAAAGTACACAAAGACCTAATAATAATACTCTGAGTAAAGAACAGCTCTGATAAATCCAGTCTTGTGTTCTTCCCACACGTCATGCATATTCTTAATCTTATAATATTCAAACTATTCATCCAGTTTATTATAATTCAATTTAATTCTTTGAAACACTTGTTTTAATTTTAGTTAAGTTACTTGAAAGGAGGGAAACAGTGGTTGATTTACACTGATATTTAAAGATAGAAATCATTCCCTCCATCTATAGTCATTCATTCACTCACTGCATTGGTCTTTGTAACTGGTATTGTTGCTGCTATTGTTACTCCAGCATGCATTCAGGATGTTCTACCTGGCCATTTCGGGACACACTTTTTCTCTTACTGCCTTGGTAGCTTCAATGGTGATTTTCCTGCTTTTCAAGTAAGTACCCTCATAGTATCTGCTTTTTCTTCCTTCTTTAAGATACTGATATAAATGGAAAACTCTGTGAAAGTTGCATGGGGTAGGGGGATCTTCTATAAATCATAAGAGATATATGAGAGTCATGAAGTAGCAAGAGAAATTATATTAGTTATCACTCTAAGAGTAAATAAGCAATTACATTGTATATAAGGTCTTTGAAGGCCAAAGCTACTAGCTGTTTTGTTCATCTATATCTGTGGTCGGCAAACTGCGGCTCGAGAGCCACATGCAGCTCTTTGGCCCCTTGAGTGTGGCTCTTCCACAAAATACCACGGCCTGGGTGAGTCTGTTTTGAAGAAGTGGCGATAGAAGAAGTTTAAATTTTAAAAATTTGGCTCTCTAAAGAAATTTCAATCGTTGTACTTTTGATAGTTGGCTCTGTTGACTAATGAATATGCCGACCACTGATCTATATAGACTTAGAATCTACCAGAAGGTCTAAGTCTATATAGCAGGTACACAGTAATGTTGTTGGATTACTGAATGAATTGTAATAAATTTAAAGTACCTTAAACTCATTTCAAAAAGTTCAGTGTAAGTGACATCAAGTAAGTGCAAGAAAAATTTTAACAATTAGTAGAAATTATATTGAAACCTCCAAGAAATGTTTCTAACTCTCTATCCCTTTCCTTTCCTCCCCGTAAAAAAATCAGTAAAATATATAACAAATAAATAAATAAATAAATAAATAAATACACATGGAACATTAAAAAAAAAAAGTTTAATAAGGAACTTTTAAAAATCCAACAAATTGCTTAGCACCCAAACGGTGGGAAATGGCTATGCAATCAGGATAGGTTATCGACAGATCCAAACCTCAGGATGCCTCATAATGAGGTCAGATTTGAGCCTATTTAAAATTCTTTGCCTGGGCCTGAGCTACACTATCAGGAGGTTGTGGACAGTAGGAACCACAGAGTTGATTCCCAGTGGATCATGAGAGATAAAAAGACTCCAGAGGAAATGTCAAAAGAGAAGATGGCGGGAGACTTCATAAAGTCTGTGTGTGTAAGGGTCAAGGGCATGGACCCAGTGCTTTGTCACGGGCCCCTTTCTTCTCCCTCATGCTCCGCTGTCCCATCGGCCACACAGTTCCTGCCTGGTTACATCAATAAGTAGTCGGCTTTTCATCCGAAGCATATGCCAAACAGTAACGGTTTCTCCTGTAAGAGTCCTTCTCTCCATTAATTTTGGGGCATTTATTCTAATTAAAAGTGATTTTTTTTTTTTTATCACCCACTCTTGCACTTGTTGGACAAAGTCACATGAGACCTGAAAGTGGTGGGGAAACTGTTTTTTAGAATGCAGGAAGATATTATAGATGGGACCAACCTCACTTACTTCAATACATTCTCTCAACTATTGCTAAAGGGAACATTACAAATACTACCAAAATGTTGTCATTCTCCCCCCTCCCTCACCCCCAGGGGTATTTCAACATTTTAGCACTGGTTAATGCTGTTACTTTTTCTTCCAGGTCTCTTTCCTGCCAACGGGTTACCATGCATAAGCACATGTTTATGACTTACATCCTGAATTCTATTGGTGTCCTCGTCTACCTGACCCTAGTGGTCCCCAATAATGACTACGTGAACTCGGATCCAGTGAGCACTGCCTTATTTGTTTTCAATTCTATTTTTAAAGATGTAGCATTTGTAAATAGTTAACATGGTGTTATTGCTTGTAAAACTAAATGAATTAGGTGAAATGTTGCATTATTCTTGAAAAACTGACATTCCAGAAAACGTTAGATTAATATTCTCCATAGCCAACAAGAGTAGAGACAGCAAAGAAAAAACTAGAAAGGACAAAAAAAAAACAACAACAAAAAGCGCAAAACTTTTTTAGAAAGGGAAGTTGTTGGACATTTTCAATCTTCAAATATTAATTGAAATTGCAACTAATATGAAAATTAAGGAAAAGCATATCCATGATCAGTTCATCTATCTATGATCCAGACATACCTAATTTGAATGAAAAAAAATATATATATATGTATAATTTTAAAGACATTTTCTCTCCTAAGCAAATTAAGAGTTATGGGTTATTGTTTTCATTTTGACCCAATTCTCAGATCACTGAGTCAGCAATTGAGGCAAAAAGATATTCCTTCCCAGTGCCAAAGGAGATATATTTTAAAAAGAGAGTTATTTCTCATAAAAGGTGGCTGCATCATTCCAACTGTTGCTGCACTACTTCTATTAGAGTACATTTTTTAGGGGCAAAATAAAACAGTGTCCTCACTCCTCAGTGAGGAGTCCCTATGGGTCCACGGTCCCTCTCCTATCAGAGTAATCAGTTCCTTCCATTGGAAGTTTTTAGGTTAAGCAGGTTCTCTCTTACAAAACCAAGTGTGAAAATTCTATTCCTTTGAATTTTTTTAAAGTTAAACTCATAAGAACTCATGGCATAAATAAGGTCTGAATAGATCCTCAGTTTACTGAGTGATGTGAAAATTGCCCATTGTCATCCATATAATTGGAGCATTTCATTTCCATAATATTTAAAATTTCATTTATTTCTCTCTCTCTCTCTCTCTCTCTCTCTCTCTCTCTCTCTCTCTCTCTCTCTCTCTCTCTCTCTCTCTCTGCTTATTTCTTCATGTGGAAAGTCAGGAGACATAATTAAAAGTATTGTTCTTGCTGCATCTAAAGGAAGTGGCATCCTTGTCAGTTTCTGGAAAGAAATGTGTCTCTGTACTTTTTATCTGGGTCTGAAAGGTACAATACAGGGAGATTATTAGTTTTTACTGGGAACCTGAGTTTTTTGCACCTCAAAAGCCAAAACAATCAAGTCACATTTTCTGTAGCCTCCTGTGTAAGGAAAAGCAAATGAGTCCCAAGTTCCGAAAAACAAAGTGAATTTCTTCTCATTCTCATTTGTTCAGGACATTTGAGCCACCAAACTCTGTTGGAACTCCATCCTAGTCATAGGATGATCTACTCAGAATAGATGCTCGGGGCTCCTCCCAGCTAACCCAGAGGCAGCTGCTGCAGGGAATAGTATAGAAATGTGAGGGAGGGCACAGGGACAGCAGCAGAGTGTTCGAGATGAGAGATCAGTAGCAGATAAAACAGCATTGGAATTATCCATTTTGTAGGCTCTGGAAGCCATGAGATTGGGAATGAAAAACGATCATGGATTTGAGGGACAGTGCAGAGAGACTACTACCAAGATGTGATCTATGGGATACAATCTCCCACTCTGGCCATTGATGCTACTTCATGTTACTCCCATGTCAAAATTAACAAATAGTATTTCAATAAAGATCGGATGATGTGGAAAAATAGGGAGGGCTTCTTTCTTCTCTTTAAACTGGATTACTTAACATTGTATTTGAAAAATTTAATTAAAGATCTTAAGAAGTTATTCCTAAAATGGCTATAGGCATCAACCCAATTTCCAGTTTCTCTTACCTGGTCTATCTGGCCAGTGCCTCTACACAGAAAAGCATAGCTTACAAGTGGTCTCTTGTGGCATGGTTTATGTAGCCAGCCTCATCTCAACATCTGCATGTCCACTGCTTTTAAAGGTTCTTATGAACTTAGTGCAGAACGTCTTCTAGATTCACTTTCATTCTTAAGAAAAACTTCCAGTTGAAGTATGAGGAGTTTCATACATTTTTCTGGAGCATGTTGGTTTATTGCTAAAACATAGCTACAGAGCAACAGTCAATCTGGTATTTGCTGTGCCTCACTAGATTGCTCCAAATACTATAGCCCTGTTCTTGCTGAACTATAGAACCTCAGATCCCAGCTCTTCTACTCATTCTGTAACCTTAAGCAAGTTACTGAGCCTCATGGTGCCTCACTTTCCCCATGTGTAAAGTGAAAGCAACAATAGCCCCTTCCTCCTAGAGTTGTTTGTGAGGATTGAATAAACCAATACACCCAAAATCCCCGACAGGGTCTGGCACAGAGCAACTTGCACTTGTTACCTAGTATTATTTCGATTGTAGTTGTTAACCATTGTCATCAGGCCTTGAGCCCTTGTCATGTTCTAACGGTGACACCCAATTTCATTTCTGTGATACACAGCATAGGAGATGGGGGAAACTCAGAGAATTTGCTAAATTCTGCTTTGATCCAAAAGGGCCTAAGTGTAAAAGCAGAATGAAGGGAATACTCAGAGTTTTGTAAACCACAAACAATCAAAAGGACTGTAGTCTGAGAATATAAAACTAGATCAGCCATGGCCTTGAGAATCCCCAGAGAAGAATGATATAATATGCTCATTACATCATATAGCGAAAAACTCTTGAGCGTAGCAAGCTGTTAATTCTTACTCCCCTGCTGCATTGCCAGCAGACTTTCTTTTCCACTGTGTGTGCATCCTGCTTTTCTGTTGACAGTATTTTTGTTTGCTGAACATTTCCAGAATGCTTCCTTGGCTACTTCCTGGATCATCTTCCATTGTACTTATCTCAGATGGGACTTTTTTTCCTCCAGTGCTCCCCCCACTTGCCCCAAACACACCGAATCATGTCTACAGTTCCATAGACTCAATTCATTTTCTCTAAGGCTTTATCAGACAGAAGTCAGCTCAGGATTGCATGACAGACTCACATTTAATTAAAATTGTTATACCTTCAGATTCCTCTGGAGACACTTCAGCACTTCCCTACAAAGTTAGTTAATGCTGACTTTCCTCCTTCATTCAGCTGGCTTTAGAGAATGTGCACATTGACAGTTTTCAAGTTGACATAACCTTTTTGCCCCTTAGTTTGCCACCTGCAGTAACATCTTGATATGAAGCTCTATAGTTCCTCCTCCTGAGGTTTTAGTATGTATGTATGTGTGTGTGTGTGTGTGTGTGTGTGTGTGTGTGTGTATATATATATATATATATATATATATATATATATATATCAAAGCATTGTGACTCTGCTGGAACAGGGAACTTATGATCTTGGGTGATTAGGATTATCAGCACTAAAAGGCCAGCCAATTACTAAAGCAAAGGTCATCAGTTGGGTTCAGCATAGCTCCTGGATCATATATGACAAACGCACCCCTGATGATCTCCTCCTTGTGCCTTAAGAGATATCACCAACATATCAATGAACTTCAGGAGCAGCATTAACCATTTCTGGGTTATTCACCTCATTGGCCATGGAAAAGGGGCTTTAAATGTCATGTGACAGATCCTTGGCTATTCTAGAAACTGATGGGTCTCAGAGTCATTGAAGAAAAATAAATTTCTCTAATCCGTGCAAGTCACCAAAGTGTAATAAGAAAAGGACATTTTAGGGTCTAGGCTTCCATTTTCCTAGATGGCTTGTTTATATGTAGTAAAATTAGACCTATGCACCATGACTCTGATTTGTGGATACAGAGGGAAGCTGGCATGTGTTAACAGATGCTCGGGGAAGCTGCATGTGGGCTAAATGCAGATACTTGGACTCATTGTCACATTTACCCTCTGCTTACTGTCAAATCCTTGCCCATGTCTTCCACTGAGTATCTCCATTTCTTTCTGACAGGTGAGCTGCAAGGTTCTGAACTGCATCAACAACTACCTGATGCTCTGCAATTATTTCTGGATGCTCTGCGAAGGGATCTTTCTGCACCGGCTCCTTGTGGTGAACGTGTTCAATGCGGGAAAGACGCTGAAGTGGTATTACCTCTTGGGCTGGGGTATGTATTTCCTCCAACTGTGTTTTGAGCCACGCTCACCTCTGTCTATACATTTCTAATGTTCTTGGAATCCAAAAGCTTTCTGAGGACATCAGCCTTAATATTTAAATCCCTGCCCAACAGACATTGTTACCAATGGTATAGAATGTGTCTGGGAAGTCATAGAAGCAGATCAAACAAATATTGCCTAGGGATAGCTCTGGTGTAGATTGTGAACTGACTGGACGGCTCCCCTTGTGGGCCAGCCCACCCAACGGAGGAGCAGAGGCAGCCCAGTCCTTGCCATCCGGGGAACTTAGAAATCAGGTTTCTGACTAATCTGCTGGCCCTGCCACAGGTGCTAGGTTCTCCTGTTCTTCTCTGTCCTCAAAACAACTCAAGAATACAAAGATCAAAATGGGCTTTTACTGTTTTTTCTTTTAGCTCCAGTCTTGCACAAGAGGTTGATCTTTCCTTCCCCTGCCCTTCTCAGCCTCAAACACACCCTTTCAAGAATTTCTAATCTTCCAAGAGCTGGTCATGCCAAGAATCAACTGGATATAATTTAAGCCTCCCAATAGCAATTCTGATCATCACAAGAGTAATGATTGATGCTGATCAGATGCCTTGCAATTGAAGACCTGAAAATAAAAGCTCAACCCAGGCCAACACACACTCACACACACAGAGACACCATTTCTGTTTGATCTATTTCACTTACTTCTTCCGAAATAAGTGTATGGCATACTTCTTGTACCAGTTTTGACTGTTTAAGAACACCCATCTGCCGTACTTAAAAACATTTCATGGAAGAAAAAGGATGTACATTTATTCTTGCCTGTGACATTCAGCAGGGAGGAGGGCACCCTGGAAGGAACAATTTATACTGCTCTTTCCATACATACTGTTACACTATGAATTAGTTATAAAAGCTTTCCGCAGCATCATCACAGACAGATTAATGAAGACATCTGCTTAACATGCATAAACAATTCAAAGGAGAAAAGGAACCAGTTGTTCAGCTGTAACAAAAAGAATGTAATGAGTTCTGGCCAGGTGGCTCAGTTGATTGGAGCGTCCTTCCAGACACCAAAAGATTGCAGGTTTGATCCCCAGTCAGGGCACATACCTAGGTTGTGGGTTTGAACCCTGGTTGGGGTATATAGAGAAAGCAACTGATCAATGTTTCTCACATCAATGTTTCTCTTTCTCTCTCTCACCCTTCCTCTCTCTAAAATCAGTATTCTTTGGTGAGGATTATTTTTTTTTAAGTGCAGAAAAGAGGTATCCTGTCTAGAGGAAAGCAAAGAGCCTTAGGAATTAACAGATATGTGACCTATACTCCTCTATGTGATATGTAAGAAACACATTTTCCTTTCTACAAAATGGTGAGATGGGAGTGAAATCTCCATATGCCTCTCTTGTTGTCTAATTAAAAGTAAGTATTTCAGAATGAATCCAGAGAATGAATATCTCTAAACCCAAGTGGGAAAATGGTATGTTAGAACTGCTGTGGATACAGCACAATTATGTTTTGTATAAATAGTCAAACTCAAAACTCTTTCAGGTCAAACATTTAATCGATGCTCCTAATAAGTTATATGCTTCATCGGGTTAGAAGGTAAGGTTGTTCTGGGTAAAACTCAATATTTTCAGGCACTCTCTTTTCCCATATAATTCACAGGAAATCAAAATGTGTAAGTCTAATTTACTTCTGAGACACATTTCTTAGTCTGATAATCATTTAAAAACTCATTCTACAAATTTTTCAAACCAAATTAAATCATATTCTGTTGTACATGGATACATCTGAGAAAAACACATATATTTTTCTTACAAAAATCACAACTTTATTCTAGGCTACCTGTATAGAATGAACATTTATTTATAAAAAGATGTAACCTGGCAGGATGCAATGCCAGTAACTATCTCCATCATTATGTTTATAAATTCAAAATTGTTTCCACTAGTACTTCAGGTGTAGGCAGAGAAGTCAATACGACGCTGCCTTCACAAAGGTTCGGCAGCCAGAACTTACACTGGTGCTTCTGAAGTGTTCTTATTGAAAAAGCACAAGATCAATGGGCATGACACACACAGGAAAACAGACGGCCAAGAAGAAGTACTGCAAACAGGAACAGCGCTTTCAGAGCAATGACACGACCACATCCACACGCTGTCCCAGGTCACATTCCTCCCGGGTGACCAGCTTCTCCCCAGGAGAGGGCCCAGTTCACACACCATGAAAGGCTTTCTGGTCTACGTCACTAACCACAATGGCAGAATAGTCCTAAGGAGTGTAGACTGTACCTGCCATACTAAGAAAGGCTTTTGATTATTTGCATGTTCTTACCCAAACTCTCTGAAAGCACATGATATGCTAACCAAGAACACATTTACCTGGTTTGACAAAAGATAATCTGTGCAAATACATCAGGGAAATACCTTGACAGAGATGTTAAATGTGCCACTGTTTTTTAAACTACCGTTTTCCATTCACCTGCAGTGATAGCTTATGGCCAGAAAACCAGGTGTAATTTGTACTTTTTTCTTTTACATTTTTAGGGTCCCCCGTGCTGCCAACCATAGCCCATGCTATTGCTAGAGTGAAGTTATTCAATGACAGGTATTGCGGTCGCTTTAGTTAAATAAATAAATAAATAAATAAATAAATATAAATAAAATGCATCTGTGCTGATATATTCTCCCCCGCCACCCTTTTTCCCCCCCAGCTGCTGGATGAGCATGGAAACCGCTCTGGTTTACATCATCCATGGCCCTATCATGGGCGCCCTGACGGTGAGAACTGCTTTTGGAGTCACTTGTTAACAATGTTATCTCTGAGGGTTTCTTTGAAGATGCTTCTATATAGCATATATATTATAATATTTACGTGAAGCTAATTAAATGATCTATAAGAAAAAGAACAATTTGATTTGAGAGTCTTGGATTGGAAAAAAAAATTGTATTTAATAACATTGGGGGGTACATACACTCGTTTCTATACACCCTACACCAAAGATTAAATTTTAGTTAAATACTATAACTAAATTCTCTTAGTTAAAGGTAAAGAGCAAGGGCTGGGGAATGTTGAAGATGTTGCTGGTAAGAAAGTAAGGGACAGCAAAGTCCCCCTGATCTTTTCCCCCTGGGCTCTGCCAAGCAAAACTAGCTTCCACTTTATCTTTGGTGCATGAGCCGCCACCCTACCTACCAGTGATCATGCACTTAAATTATTCCACGCACTTCACGTACAGTCCCATGCTATTTGTAACAGCAGCCCTTCCGAGGATACTTGACTCATTAGAAAAACTAGACCCAAAGACTCAAGTAAGCTCACCCAAAATCACGTGACCAGTGAGAGGTTGGGTTAGGGGCAGTCTCACATCCCGTGTAGGTGCTCTCTGCCTCCCACGTTGAGTAAAGAATTGAGGAAAGCAGGTGTCCTTCAGTGGTACTGATCTGGGTGATCTGCTCATTCATAACATCATATCTTTGCAGATCAACTTCTTCATTCTGCTCCACATCCTCTACGTGCTCGTGAAGAAGATTAGGAATGATGGCCATCATGATGTCCTGCGGTACCTGAAGGCAGTGAAGGCCACTCTGGTCCTGGTGCCCCTGCTGGGAATCCAGTTTGTCATTTTCCCCTGGAGGCCTCACACCAAGACTCTTGCCCTGGTCTATGACTACGTGATGCACTTTCTGAGTCACTTCCAGGTAAGGAAGCCTCCCGGGTGTGCTTATTCCATACCTGCCCAGCTAGGTTACTGTCAGCATGGCCGCTCAGCCCTTGAAAGCACAGAGCAGGGTAGCAGATGTTATGAAATCCTTCTGCTGAACCCCAAGCTGGAAGTTGTTTCCCTCTTAAACGGCCATCCAGTTTTTTCAGCGATTTCATTTGATTGTCTTGACCATGATTAGAGAGGTCAGGACCCTAGAATGTCTATAAGGACAGCCATTCCTGCAATGGTAGGCATATTCTCCCGCTTGGTAATTTGCAATTACCTCTCTTCATAAGTAAATTCAAGTTGAATCAGTTTTGCGATGAGGGGTAATGAATTTGCACAGAGCCATTCATGGCTTCTGCTCTGTCACCCTCCATTTGTCACAGGGGTGTCAGCCCCCATCGGGTCACGTTCAGGGTCTGTAAAGGGAAGGGCATCCAGGTCTATCCTCTTGCGGGAGAGCACAGAATGGGCCCTCAGGAGCTTCCCCAATGTCTGCCACACAAAAATGGAGAATGGCTATTCCCATTCAGTCTGCCCCAGATCCACAGGCCCATTGAAGACATAGTACTGGATATTTTGAAAGCAAGTCGGGGCATGGAAGGTTCTAAGGCAGAGCTGAGTCTGCCATGGGCTCTTAGGCCAGAGTTTTGCTGTCTTGATTATACATCTCCAAGTAATTATACTTTCTACGACTAGAGGTCAAAATTAATAGGGCTAAAAATAAAGTTTAGAGATTGTTTTAATAATTGCTTTGGCCATTCCTATTGATAAGGCTTAAACGTAAGGGAACTTCTGAGTAGTGACCGGGATCTCAGAGGTCCCTTCGTCTCTGTCCTTCTTGGAGAGATGAGCTTGGCTGCGGGTACAGCACTGCACTAGTTCACCTTGAAGACATGGGCACAGTCTGGCCCACCTGCACAAGTTTTCTTTACTGAATTCTACAAGATCTCAGTTTTTAAAATCACGTACAAAGCATTCTTTTCAAATCCGCTCCAATCAGCATATTTTGCTAGAACTCTTCATGTTAAAGACAGCAGCACATTAACCATGCTGACCAGAGCTGTCCCTTTGACTGAAGGGCAGACTTCTTCTAACAAGAAAAACACATAGCATATTCTAGTCGGGAAGCACTGAATATGAGTGGTAGTAACTGCTTTCCATCCAGCCTCGACTTGCTTTCGCCGCAGTAAAATGTTCCTCTCCAGAGTGACTATTTATATTGATGGCTGTACAGTGTAATGCACACAAAAGTAACTCCGGCTCTGTCCTTCCTCCTCTTTACAGGGATTCTTCGTTGCCGTGATTTACTGCTTCTACAACTCTGCCGTAAGCACGCCTTTCACATAATACCGCCACTCGTGTATACAAAGCTGGTACTCGACAGTTTCCAAAGGGCCTCTTTTCAGGTGGCCTCACTTCTCCAGTTTTCTTTCCAGGGTGACGTGACTAGCCAAGTTGTGTTTTTCTACCACTGAGTCTTTTCTGTGCTCACCGAGCTGAGTCTTTTCTGTGCTCGTGTGGCCCAATTGCAGATGTTATTCTGATGGGCCGCTAAGTCCTGATTTGCTTGGATTGCACCCTTGTTGCTTTAGGAGCAACGAAAATCTCCTTTTGGGCTTTTTGTTTATTTTGGGGGGGGGTATGTTTTGGTTTTTGGGGGTTTTGTGGGTTTTTTTTTTCTTTCAGATTTAATGTCCTTATTCTTGGATCAAAGCAGCATCAGACTCAATCTGTGGTATTGTAGAAAATAATTGCCCTTATTAAAGTGTAATTATTGAAACCTAGTCACTAAGGCCCCATTCTAATATGTGTGGTTTACAAATTAACGCAGATTGTCATCTCCACACAAAAGGAGAGGTTATAATTTTGGAATACAATTGTAGAGGGCTGTGAACATTTCTGTGGTAATAATTTTTAAAAATTAGACTTCAAACCCTTGGCCTCCTGCTGAGCTGGGTACTTAATTAATATGCTTAGCACTCCAATGGGGATTATTTGAAAAGGGCAGGTGAGAAGAAGCAAAGACTTCCTGTTTTATTTCTGCTGGGTGCTTTTATAAACTCCTCTAAACTTACTACTGTCCACCTTGGATGCTTCTGATTGTCTGTTTAAGTTTTAGTTATGAGGACAATGTTGGTATTTGAGAAATGCTGAATGGATGGCAACTATCAGTGACCTTTGTCTAGTGACATTGCTTCTCCAAAAATATGCGGAAACAATATGTTACCTAAGTCCTCAACAGCGCACTTGGTGGCTTCTAGATTATAAACCTGATCTTTAAGGACCCATGTTTAAAGAAAAGAACAACCCAAATAAAGCCATGCCACTTCTTGGAAAATACATTGTAAAAATAAATAAATAAAATAAAAATATATAAAAATATAAATCCTAAAGAGAATTGTTTATGTATTAGTATCCATAGAAAGAAATAATTTTATTCCGAAAAGACTGTCACTCCAATAACCAGAGTCTTATCTGGCCATATCGGATAAAGGAAAATCAACAGAATTATCATAAATCCCAGAACCGTTTTATGTTTTGCATATATATTTTCATGACCAGTCATGTAGAGAGGTTCCAATGAAAGCTTCTTTCTTGTCAGAGATGGGAGCAGATAAAATGTTTTCCAGCTCTTTCTCCCTACTATGATGTGCATGCCATGTATGGAGTGCGAAAACCAAATCAAATTGCAGTCATTGGACTGAAGCGCTAAGGACGAGACTTCTGCACAGTAGCGAGTAGCCTTACCCATGATAGCCTAGCAAGTAACTCAGGGCTCCAATTTGCAAATTCCTCTCTGTGCAGCCAGAGCCTATACCACATGGCTCTTTAGGTCGGATTTACAATTCAGCCAACCGCTTTGAACCTCTGATAAGTCCCAAGAAGTGTGCCCCTGAACGTGGCGTGGGTCATTTCTGACAATTACATGATAACGGGACTTTTCCTCTTCCAGGTGCAAGAAGTCGTGATGCGCCGTGTGCAAGTGTTCAGAACCCGCTGGAACCAGCGCCGCGAAGGGTACGCCTTACGCCGGCAGAATTACAATATGTTGCTGGCAGCTCTGGCTGCAGCTGCGGCTGCAACCAATGCTGATCCTGACGATATCCCTGATTGCATCTGCCACAGAGAGCGGAGGATCCGGGCAGCTGCCAACAACCGGAGGAACAACGACCTGGAGATGAACAACAACCCGGAGCTGATGAACAACGACGACGAGGAGCTGAATGACAACGACATCCAATACGAAGTGGAAGCCGAAATCGAATTCCGTAATGGCGTGGAGATTCATGACATCATCCCGATGGAAATCTTTGAGCGGGAGTAAAGCGCTGAGGTGTAGGGCCAGTCCAATACCATGATCTCTGAGACTTCATCCCCTGGGAGAAAGCCCACCCATGCTTTTCAAGTGATCACCACCCTCCCAGGCGTCAGATATTTCATTCGTGAACAGTTGTGTTCAGTGGTTTTATCCATAGTGAATCCGAAGGCTGTTCTTCTTGGTACTATTGCTATGGGAGACAGTCTAAGGAATGGAGTCTCCCACTGCCAACACTTGTAAATTCCACCTTTCATCTAGGACTGAAAAATGCAGGTGTAATGCAAAGCAAAGGTATCTAAGAAAAACACTTAAATTGACCGGATTCAGATCCAAGGTGCTCATTGTAAAATCTTGAGCCATTTATACCTTTAAAAAAAATCAAAATCACTGTCAATAGTTGGCGCTTTTAACTCTAAAGTTTGAATTAGGATATTTCGGTATTTGGCTATGGGTCCAAACGTTTAATCTGCTTATCTCGATCAATTCCAATGCTATTCAGACGTTTTACCATCCACACCAGTATAAAACCACACAAACTGCAACATGACCTCCCCAAGACAGAGAGGCTTTCTGATATAGAGATGACCAAGAATATAGGGGAGAGATCTGTCCTTGGCAGGAAGATGTAACGCTTTGAATGAAAAACAAAAATGTTTTGAGTCAATTTGCTTGAAACATTAGATGGGCTGGTTTGTGAATGGGGGTGCTCATATTACGGCACGCTCAGCCTGGTTTTGGATGGTCCTGTCCACAGGGCAGCCCTCCCTTTTGTAAGGAATTGGCCTTCGTGTTGAGTATGCTTCAGTCGCTGACACTTACAAATTGGGAGGTCACAAAGAATCCTTGCTAAATTTTTCACAAAACTGCCAAAAAATATAATTCCCAACGGAAGAGGCTAATCTCTCTAAAGAGAGTTCTCTGCTTTCCTAAATTCTAAGATTTGTAAAGCAAACCATTCCAAATTTTATAAGGCCAATTACCTCTTTCCCTTGGGTGCTATCTTGCAGCAAAAGATAATTCGAATTGGTGACTCATCATAAAAGTCTATTAACTGCCATCCACTCAGATTCATAGCTTACTAAGATCTCAGTCTTTCCCAGAAAGACTCACTATGGCTGATTAGAAATCAGTTTGTAGCTGACCTCTGTTTGCTATGATTAGCCAAACCAGAGGAGGAAAGAAAATATGTAACCACTACAAGTTTAACCATACACAAATTTGATTTAAAATAAAAATATTTCTCATTGAAGCCCAAAATTATATTCCCATCTCTCTCTTTACTTCCCAAGTCTAAAAATCTTCAAAAATCCCTGAATAAATCAGTATCATTAATGGCACCTGAAATTAATATGTGAATTTGCCACATTAATCAGAGTTGAATTGGTATGCGAAGTGAGGAGATACATCAAAACCTGCAAATTTCGTCTAATCTGTGATAGCTTATGCTGCTGCTTTTAGAAGTGATTCGTTGTGGGAAAACAAAATAATTTGTGTTGGTTACATATATAGTGTACCCCCATCCCCAACTCCCCAAAATTATATTCTTTCAGAAAAGTATTTTGGATACTAAAGTAGCTAAGTCTCCTTTGTTGAAGGTAAGGGAGAGTTATAAAGAGGGTATTTTTGCAATCACAGTATTTATGTAGTAGTCTATTTTTGTCTACGGAGATGGAAAGAAGTGTATTTCAGGCAACTTTAGTACAAATGTGAGGATATTTTGCTAAAATATTCTAGATGTTATTTAGCTAATACAGTAGGGGCTGACGAAAACAAAATAGCTTATTTTAGAATTGCACATTGTGCCAAAATTGTGAAATGCTTATGCTATGTATGTATATCAATCAATCAATACATCATCATATGTGATAAGCAAAAAGGTGTGTATTTGCGTATTTTTTTCTAAAGAAATATATTATTTATCTTATCATTCATTCATCTGCTCATTGCATGGTCTTTTACATTTCATTCATGGGCTGCTAACATCTCATCTGGTTAGTACTACAGGAGGGGAGGAGACAATCCAAAAGTAGAAGTTAGAAAACCATGTGCAAAACCATTAAGGTTTGTCCGTTTAACCATCTTTAGTCAGCAATATGACTATAAATTCTGTGGCATATTTCTCATAACCTTGACAACACAAACAGCACATACAACCATCAATCTATCGTGTATAAGTCTAGGAAGCACTGCAAAGAAATCTAGGACAAGACAATATCATAGCCTTTTATTGTTTTGGGTTATTTTGTTGTTTTATTATTCTGGGACTAGATCTGAACTGTCCTACATCACATCAATGACTAGAATTGTTATAATCACTGATTTGTAATATACTTTGAGAGACTAAGGCTGGATAAAAGGCAACTAATTAAATGTCATTAAAATACATAAAGGCCACTATTGGAAAGATGTTCAGATCTGGAAAGCATGATATGCAAAACTGAGGTAAATGAGAACTGTGATGGACTGATAAAGGTGAACAGGCACAATTTGTAGCATCTTCACATGCAATAGCTTCCAAAATTGTTGGTCTCGTGAGATTGGAGAACTTTCAAAAAAAATACATAAGAGCAACATCTTTTCCCTTATGTTTTTGTGATCTTGAAGAACAAAAGTAATTTCCATCAGACCATAGAATCAGACTCTTCAGGAGAATAGCTTGAATTCAGATGGTCAGCTGTCCATGTGCTTGATCCCAACTATAAAGTGATCTAACAAAGGCCTTTGGGTACATATGGCTATCATGGGGTCCTGATCAAGGAAAGATGTTAACAAAGACATGTTAACGAAGACATGACAGAAATGGCATCATCATGGAGCTCCATCTTGTCTCATTCATTTCTTCATTGTCATTGATGTTTCATGTACCTTTCATTCAGCTACACAACAAATACTTATTAAGAGTAGTTCTCATGGCAAACTGTCTTTGCCATAGTTAACTGCTTCTCTCCTGAGTCAGTGGTAAAAATCACAATCTGCTAAGTGAAACATTATCCTCACACCATAACCGCTCATATTTTGGAGGGTGGGAGAACAAAGCGACGCTTGTGGTTGGATGTGATTTTCCTCCTCATTAGTGCCGGGAGGGTCAGCTTCAAGGAATAAGAAACACCCTCAGAACAAGACCTCTGCACAAAGGCTTAGCAAGGACTTGTTTTCTTGACAACGAGGTCTAAAATAGTGATTCTTTCATGGGCTACATTACAGTTCAACTACTCTTCAGAGGAGTTAACATTCAGAGTTTGAAATAAGATTATTCATGGAGGGGGGAATCAGAAGCCACATTTAGAAAGGCCGTCAGGTAAACTCAGAAGCAAACTGCATTGGTTACTGGTATTATAGTAGAATTGGTTTTACCTGTGCAAAGTGTGGAGGTTGGTGAAAGCAGAAAGAAAAGAGATGATAATACGTGCGTGTGAGGACAAAGGAAGGTAGAAAGGCCACATCTGAAAATTAAGAACTAACTATATATCTAATGATTTTTATTCTTCTGGACACATAAGTAATCTCTTTAATATCTGAATAATATGAAACATGGACGAAAAGAAAACACAGCCATTGACCCTGGAAACGAATTTAGCTCAAGGAGATTTTCTTCTGTGGTGTCTTCCTGCACGGGGATTACCAGGCAGCTCTGAAAGGTTCCAGGGTCAATGGCTGTGTTTTCCCTTCTCTTAGGCATGGACCATGGATCAATCTCTCAGGTCACTGATTGGTGTTCATTTCACATTAACTCCATGCCGTCTCCCTGCCGGTCCCAGAAACCCTCCCACCGAGATTCAAACTGTGTCCTCGCTCTCTGCATGTCACCACTGTCTCCTTGACCTAAGAGACTTATCATCTTATTTTAATTTGGAAAAATTGCCTCCAAAATTGAGATGTCTTTAATGAAAAAAAAAGAAAAGAAAAGCAACAACAATACACCGACATTCCAAATAGAGCATGGAATCTGTCTGTCTTACCAAGCCAGACTGGCTGACCAAAGCTCGCCCACCACTCTCACACAGAGGCCGCAGCCTAAACTGACACCCAGTGCAAACTCTCCCAGCCTCTGCACAGCAGGGAGGTCAGCCTTTCCCCGGACAGAGCAGCCCTCCAATGCACCCAGGCATCATAGCTTCTGTGCGTTGTCTTTCCCAAGAGGGATATTATGAGGCTTCACCTTACAGGGAACATCCCTTAAATAGAGAGAATTTGAGAACAACAATAAAGGGACAGCAGCAATCACTGAAACACTGCAGTCAATACAGACCTAGAGATGGAGTTTACTTGCTCTTTAAAGCAACCCAAACTAGTTTCACCCCCATTTCAGTGATGAGAAAACTTAGCAGGAGAGAAGAGGTACAATGCCAGTCACACAGTCAGTGGCTGAGCTAGGAATGAGTCAAGGGTGCCTGCCTTTTATAAAAATAAAAACCACACACACAAAAACACAAACAAACCAAACAAAAGGCACACAAAACAGACGGGAAGTGTTTATAACTACACAGAGGGCCTCCTTGGTACCTGAGGTCGCGGGCACTTACAAGAAGGGTTCCTGCGGGCCCTGGAACAGCCTGCGGCCCTCCTGGGCGCCAGGCCTGGGCACAAGGCTGGGTCCTCCCCAGCAGCAGGGAGCGGTCCGGGCGGCCCGCGGGCGCTTGGAGGGCTCTGACTCTCCGGGTTGCTGACAGACAGACGCACATCCTGGCACGAAGACGTTCAGTCCCCTGGCACACGAAGCCTTGCTCCCCCTTCGCCAGCAGGATATCATCAGCCACCAGGCGCCATGGCCTCTCGGGCTCCGGCACGGCCCGGGCGCAGCAGGCCAGGGCGCGTTTGGCGAGCTGCTGAGGGGCCTCTCGTCCCCCCGGGGGCCTGCGGACACTCGTGGAGGTCGCAGGGGGAGCGGCTGGGGACCTGGGCGCAGCCACGTTCCCCAGCACATGGCACACCACTTGGGGACTTCAGCGCTGGGTCGCCTGGCCAGGGCTCACAATGACACTGGTGGGTTTGCTCCCAGTTGGGGG